GGATAAATTATATTTTTTAATCTTAAACAAATGGTCATTCGTCTCATCCTCATGTACCAAGCAGTGAAAGAAATCGTAGAGTACATAAATGTATGTCAAAGCAAATAATAATGCTTTTATGAACGATTATTGAAAACAAACAGGTCGGTTGGTAATGCCAACGAAAATCATAAATTGAATTCTATTCTGTAAGAGGGCAAAAACATCTCAAATCGTTTTTTTTTTGGATTGCAGGATCACAAAAATTCATAAACGGCAGAAATGCTATTTTCATCCATTTTTTTGCGTAATGTGTAAAGCATCGTCCATCTCCTTTAATTTTTTGACTATCTTGCTTGTGAGTCGTTACTCTTTGCTCATAAATGAATTATTATTTCTTATTAGTTTGCATGAATTTATTTGACTATCACTAAAAGTTCTTCTCTCCAAGTTGGTGATTAGAACGTTCCCCTGTAACACAACATGGCCTAAAAAACATATTTTCCTATCGACTCCAAGGACCACAGCCTTGCCTTCTGAATGTTTTGGGGTATAACACGGCATCAATGCAGTGTTCAGCACCATTGGCTGCACATTACTCTGCCAGGTCGTGCTTTTGTGTTTTCTCCATTGCCGGCTGTTCCTGAGGAGACGTTAAGCATGCATTAGACCAAGTTCGGTTTTCATAAAAAAACTATGAAGAGCGTCATCATGATTTCGCTGTGCTTTAAAACGTCCACATTTTCCAATACAAATGGCCATCGTCATAACACCGGATTCTTAGATCTCTTCCATTACAACTTTTCCGGTTACCATCATAGAAGCCAGCATGGGCATTCTTCACATGCAGAACTGGGTTGTGAAGTATCTCTGGTCATAGCTTTTGTGTCGGAAGCCGAAACGTAGGAATTCACACGAAAGGAAAATCTTGTAAAGCGCCAACCCAAAGCCATTGAATGGAATAAAGTGGAGTTTTAATAGCTTTGACATTTATTGAAAATGACATTGCGAAAATCTCATTCTTTATTTGCTTTTCTTTCAGCCGTGGTGGCTAGAATCAATTGGCACTGGAACGGCCATTGCTGCAGTTTCATTCATACTGATTGGACCCTCGCCATTCATTCCACTACAAAAGTAACTAGAGTTTTAAATCAAACATTTATAAAAAATTCTTTTTCCGTAATAATGGTGTTTGCTTTTCTGAATCGCTGTTGCAGCGATGAACACGTTAATGACGTAGAAAAATTTTTTAAGTGAAGCTTGCATAAAACAGCTTTAAACTATCATCAGTGCTCCTTTAGAATTGGATAGTGCCTTATCACTGAGTCGCATATTCTGCAATGTAATATTAGTAGAATTCACTTATCAGGGGCCTCAATTCACATAACAGCCACAATAGGAATGCGTTAAAAAAGGGAAGCTTGCATAGATCCAGAAAAGCATCTCAATGGAAGAAGGTTCAGAGGTAAAACTCGAATCGTGTTCTTACAATCAGCGACTTCACCCCTGTCGGTGAACGGTAATGATTAATACGTTTCAACACTCATAATGAATGATTCAACTCCATGGAAATTCAAAATTAAGCAATGCAAGCTGTGGGCTGACAACCTACAACGGATGAAAGCAAATTAGCAACGGAAGAAATGATGGATTGCCATCTACGGTCTAAAAATATCGATCTGCGCAAATGGACAGTTAGACGATAGACAAGCTTCTGGACCTAGCAACCCCCACCCAACAATAATAACTGAGAACTAGTGTCATGCAAGTAATGAGATGAGCCAGCAAAACTCTTCATAGCGAAGTGCTCTGTGGTAATACACATTTCAGCAGTTCTTCCAAAGACGACTCATTGATAAACGACGTCAGGGATAAAAGATCATTCAGATAATTCCAAGCCACGTGGAGAACTGCTCACGACACCTTGAAAAACGATGACACCTTGAAACGCACCATTTTCTATGCTTCTACAATTCACTGAGTCTATGTGCTTCCATATGGCACTCAATAACCCAATGAATCTGACCACGTTAGCGTAATGATCGTCATCATTTGTGAGATTCTAGCTTGAGCGATCCTGCCAACTTCAGAAGGAACCTATAGCACCTCACAAGGCCATCTCTTTTGCGCCTGCGATAACGCCTTTCAGACTCCATTTCTGACCGATGCAGCACTGACTCACATTCTTTTGACATCGGCATTCGACCTCACTTTTGGCAAAAGCACTAAGTCATTTTTTAATCCATTCACAGCAGCGATGGAGTGTTAAAACTCTTGGCCGTTGGTCGAATTTGTGATCCATTTTATGCACGTCTTCCACCACACTTCGACAAAAAATTTTTTTAATGAGTAGCAGTGTACCCTGACGGAAGGAGCGTGTAGTTACCGAAGAAGCATCTTGCAAAACCTATTTCAAAGTACTCAACACACAGTGCAACAGCACTATGATTGTAATACTTCGATCTATCCATTGTATTAAATATTATTTAAATATGTCAGATCAGTTGATATGGTGGCAATCAGTCTGGCAATCTTTGGCCTTGGAATGGCTGCTGCGTTTGTTCCGTCATTCAGCTTTGCCCTCCATGCATCCTAGTAAGTATTGTATGATTTATCTTCGTTCCATACATTTTGCAAAATTGTTCTATTATTTACGTATAGTGAAAAGGGCTATCCGGAATCTCTGAAGACGTACTCGATCGTTTCCGGTCTGTTTCAAGCATTTTATGCTTTGGGGTAAAAGTATTTTTCCTATTAACGTAAAACTACAGTAACACAAAATAATGTTTTGTCTGGTATCTTATATTGTTTAGAGCTTAAAACAGTCCATTATCACGCTGACATTCAACACACTAACTTACACAGGCAATGCCAGTGAAAAACAAGAATCTATTTCATGAGGATTGTTGACTCTCCACGTGACGTTCTCCGTGCAGTGCAGCCACTGATCTATTTTGTGCGGTCGAACTCAACAACTATGAGGCTAATAAATCCATAGGAATGAAAATTTTACAGACAGTAGGATGCATTCTATCATAAAAGCGATATTCTAGTCTAAAATTTCAGCTACAGTGTTAGTGGCGAAAGTTGGTTGCATTCGCTGGCAAAAGCACACAAGTTTCAACAAAGCAGAGTGCTTCTGGCAGCAAGCATCGTCATTGCACACGATTGAAGTCTGCTATTCCAACCTATAGCTATGAGTAAT